CCAAAGCGCAGCACCCGACACTTGGCCTTGTTGAACCTCATCCCATTCATCTCAGCCCAGCGATCCAGCTGATCCAGATCCCTCTGCAGGGCCTCCCTGCCCTCAGGCAGATCCACACCACCTCCCAACTTGGTGTCATCTGCAAACTTACTCAGGGTGCCCTCAATCCCTTCATCTAAGTCCTCAATGAAGACATTAAACAGGATGGGCCCCAGCACCGACCCCTGGGGGACGCCGTCCATCAATCAGATGTGAAAGTTCATCGGGGTGCGTGAAATCCGGCGCTGCTCACGGGAGGACCACAAAGCTGAGGGGGACGAAAAGCTCTGCGTGACAAGTTGTGTTGTCCTGCGGTCCTGGGATCCCTTTCTTTCGTGTTTCCTGCCTGAAAATTGGGTTGGTTTCACATCATTGACGCTGGCGCGGAGTCTGAGCGCGGCACAGCTGAACGCTGCCTCGATTTCCGCTCTCAGGGCAGTGGGTGTGGGGTTGGGGGAACCCCAGAGGGGTTGGGATGAGAATAACTGTAGCGCTGGGGGATCCCTATGGTTGGAGAAGACCTCCGAGGTCATCAGCTCCATCCGTTGACCCGTCACCACTGTGTCCATTCCTAAAATCATGGGATTATGGAATCACCGGGGCTGCAAAAGACCTCAGAGATCCTCAAGTCCAACCGTTGACCCATCGTCACCGCCGTCCATTTGTAACATCATGAAGTTATGGAATCGTTGAGGCTGAAGAAGACCTCCGAGGTCATCAGCTCCATCCGTTGACCCGTCACCATTGTGTCCATTCCTAAAATCGTGCAGTTATGGAATCACTGGGGTTGGAAAAGACCTCAGAGATCATTAAGGTCAACCGTTGACCCATCGCCACCACTGTGTCCATTCATAAAATCATGGAGTCGTAGAATGGAGTCGTAGGGTTGTTGTTTCATTCATAAAATCATGGAATGGTTGAGGTTGGAGGAGAGCCCTGGGGTCACTGAGTCCAACCATGGACCCACCGCCACTGCGTCCATTCGTAACATCATGGAACTGTGAAATCATTGAGGCTGGAAAAGACTTCAAAGATCATCAAGTCCAACCGTTGACCCCCCCACCAACCATTCATAAAATCGTGGAAGCAGAATGGAATCATAGAATCAAGGATTCATTCACAAAATCATGAGATGATTGAGGTTGGAGTTGACCTCCAAGATCGTCAGCTCCAACCTTTGCTCCATCACTGCTGCATCCATGCGTAACATCGTGGAGTTACGGAATCATTGAGGCAGGAGAAGTCCTCCAAGCTCCTAAAGTGCGACCTCCAACCCAACGAAGCGCCGTATGAATTTGTTCTGCGGTTCGCTGCGGTTGTGGCACTGGGGTTGTGGCACTTAGGCTGAAGGAGCTGGGAATGTTCAGCCTGGAGAAGAGGAGGCTCAGGGGGGACCTCATTGCTCTCTATAACTTCCTGAAGGGAGGTTGTAGTGAGCTGGGGGTCGGCCTCTGCTCTCGTGCCATCAGTGATGGGAGCAGAGGGAACGGCTTCAAGCTACGGCAGGGGAGATTCAGGCTGGACATGAGGAAGTGTTACTGTTCAGAAAGGGTGGTCAGGCACTGGAATGGATGCCCAGGGAGGTGGTGGAGGCACCGAGCCTGGGGGTGTTGAAGGAAAGGCTGGATGCTGTGTTGAGGGACGTGGTTTAGTGGGAGCTGTTGGTGATAGGTGAACGGTTGGACTGGATGAGCTTGGAGGTCTTTTCCAACCTTGGTGATTCTATGATTCTATGGGGTTGTGCTGGGCCTTGGGTCCCACTTTGCCACCCCAGATTCCATTAATCTTCTCCTGACGTTAAGGATTCTACGGCTGGACACAGAGGTGATGGGTCAACCGTTGGAATTGATGATCTCAGAGGCGTTTTGCAGCCTCGATGGTTCCATAATTCCGTGTTTTTATGATGTGGTGTGAAAATGGAAATAGTGGGAAAGATTGGAGAGAAGGGGAATGGGACGGAGTGGAAAGAGTGGGAAATGATTGAAAAAGATTGGGGGGAATGGGAAAGAAATTGAGAAAATGGGTCAGTGGTTGGACTTGGTGATCTTTGAGGTCTCCAACCTCCATGATTCTGTAATGCTGTGGTGTTACAAGTGGACAAAGGGACGGTGGGTCCGTGGTTGGACTCTGTGACCTCGGAGGTCTCCTCCAACCTCAGCCTCGGCGTGATTTTATGAACGAATCTACGATTCCATCTCAGTCTCATTCGTTTTATGAACGAATCTACGATTCCGTTCTATGATTCCACGCGTTCATGAATGAACGGCGGCGGTGACGGGTTGGATTCGATGACCTTTGAGGTCCCCAACCTCCATGATTCCACAATTCCACGATGTTACCGATGGGTGCAGCGGTGGTGGCTCAGTGGTTGGACTCGGTGACCTCGGAGGCCTCCTCCAATCTCGACCATCCCGTGATTTTATGAACGAAACGACGATTCTACGGCTCCATTCTATGACTCCATGATTTTATCAATGGGCGGTGATGGCCGGCGGGTCGGTGACGAGGGCTCAACCATTGGACTTAACGACCTCGGGGGTCTTTTCCCACCTTAATGACTTCCTGATTCTTCGTGGTGGATGTGGGGCGGGCTGTCAGCCAGGAGCTCGAGCAGCTCTTGTATTCTGTCTTTTTTTTTTGGCAAATGGGCACTTGCTGAGATGATGAGGGCTTCGGCCGTCCCCGCTGACCCCACGCTGTTGGGAGGATGCAGGAATTTCCCTCGTGGGATCCATTTACTGCTTCTCCTCCTCTTCCCACACACCAGCAGCACTCGAAGCGGCGGCGCCGGGTGACCCCGAATGGCTCTTAATGAGCACCTCGGTGATTTCTGCTCTGCCGTCCTCAGGGTCTCGCCCTCGTTATCAACAGCACTAATTACCATCTCAAATGACGACCTGCCTGCCCTGGACGCGTGGCTGAGGGTGCGACCCGGATGCTTCTGCAAAGAGGATGATGAGAGGCTGCCCGTGTTCAGCCTCACCTTTTCCCCCCTGCGTGGCACCGCTGCTCCACTTGCCTGTTTATGCATTTGCTCTTCACGGGGTGATTTCTTCAATCTGCTGCTCCTTGGAAATAAATTCTGGCGTCGGTGGGAAAAGGATGGCGAGCCCAGGAGAAGTGCTGAGATGCGACGCGGGGCTCCTTTGCCCTAAAAATAATGCAGATTCCACCCGGGTTGTTTGGAAAATGTTGGATTTTCTTCCGGTTCCTGCAGGTATCGACACGGTTCTGTGCTGTGGGGTGGGATTTGGTGATGCAGTTCTGCGATATCGCGATAGATGATGAGGGCAGTTTGGGAACCGTTCTGCTTTTCGGCACCCTGAGTTGGGTCTGGGGGCGAATTGGGATGGAAAAAGGGACGTCGCTCCGTGTGCTGTGGGGTGGAATTTACCTCTCGTGGGTCTTAATGTTGGTGTTGAGGGGTGTGAAATTATTTGTTGTTGTTGTTTTGGGTGCATTGGCTGTGGTTTTGGTTGTTGTTGTTGTTGTTTCTTTCGTTGTATTTAGTACAGGAGAGGAAATAAGGATAAAAAGTGATGAGAATGAGAGATAAGGGGGAAAAGAACAATAAGGTAATGAGAAGAGAATAAGTAATGGGAATGGGAATGTAATAGGAAGGGATTGGGGGAAAAAAAAGGACTGGAAAGAGTGGGAAATGGGAATAGTGGGAAAGATTGGAGAGAATGGGAGCAGGAAGGGAAGGGAAGGAGTGGAAGGAGTGGGAAATGGTTGAAAGAATGGGGAATGGGCAAGAAATTGAGAGAATGGGGAAGGAGAGGAAATGGGGAAAATAGGAAGGGATTGGAGAGAAGGGAGAAGATGGAGAGAGTGGGAAAGATTGGAGAGGATAGGAAAGGAATTGAGAGAATGGGGGAGAATGGAAATGGATTGGAGAGAATGGGAAAGGTGGGAAGAATATGGAGGGTTGGAAAGAATGGGAAGGAGTGGGAAAGACGGGAGAGAAAGAGGAAGGGTTGGAAAGAATGGGAAAGATGTAAAGAATATGAAAGACTGGAGAGAATGGGGAAGAAATTGAGAGAACGGGAAAGATTGGGAAGGGTTGGAAAGAATGGGAAAAGATTGGAGAGGATGGGAAAGAGAGGGAAAGGGCTGAACGAATGGAGAAGGAATGGAGAGAATGGGAAAGAATGGAAATGATTGGAGAGAATGGGAAAAATAGACTGGAAAGGATGGGAAAGATTGGAGAGAATGGGAAATGTGGAAGGAATATAAAAGATTGGGAAGACTGTGGAGGAGTGGAAAGAATGAGAAAGAAATCGAGAGAATAGGAGAGGTTAGAAAGGATTAGAAAGAATGGGAAAGGAATGGAAAGAATAGGGAAGATTGGAGAGAATTGGAAATAAATGGAGAAAATGGGAAAGTTTGGAAAGGAATGGAGAGAATGGGAAAGGACCGAAGAGAACGGGGGAGAATGGAGATAATGGGAAAGAAATTGAGGGAATGGGAAAGGGCAGGAAAGGTTGGGAAAGGAATGGAAAGAATGGAAAGAATGGGAAAAATAGGAAAGAAGAAGAGGGCAAAAAGAATGAGAACGGAAGGATTAAGAACAAAAAGAATAAGGAAAAAAAGGGATTAAGAACAAAAGGAGATTAGGAGCCGAAAAAGAAAAAATGAGCAAAAAAAAGACAAAAAGCAGAAAGAAAAAGAACAAAAAGCGTAACTAAGGACATCTTGGCGTGGTAGGAGGATAATGAGGACGCACCAGCTGTAATTAAAGCCATCTCTAATTCACAAGATGATTAACTAATTCTTCTGTCTGGAGAGCAGGGCGGCAGCCGTGCCCTCGTATCGCAGAACAGCAGCGGATGATATTTTAATGCACCGCTTTAATTACGGAGCAGCTCGTTAGGGTGGTCAGCAGTGACGATGGTTTTCTTGGGTTTTTAATTGGGCCGCCCTCTAACGAGGGCTCTGCGCAGCCCTGAGCCTGGTGGGCCACGGGGGAGCCCTGGCTTCATTACGAACCACCAGGAAGAATCCAAAACCATCCTAAAATCCGCAGTTTTGGGATTTCCTTGTTTTCCTCCATCTCTTCTTCCTTTAATGCTGTAAACCATCAGAAGAAATCCCCAAATCCGGAATTTTCATCATCATCGAAAAAGAAAAGAAAGGAAGAGGGAAGGAAGAGGAAAGGAAGAGGAAAGGAGGAGGAAAAGAAGAGGAAAGGAAGAGGGAAGGAAGAGGAAAGAAGGGGGGGAAGGAAGAGGAAAGAAGGAGGAAAGGAAGAGGAAAGGAAGAGGGAAGGAGGAGGGAAGGAGGAGGGAAGGAGGAGGAAATGAAGAGGAAAGAAGCAGGAAAGGAAGAGGAAAGAAGGAGGAAAGGAGGAGGAAAGGAAGAGAGAAGGAGGAGGGAAGGAGGAGGAAAGGAAGAGAGAAGGAGGAGGGAAGGAGGAGGAAATGAAGAGGAAAGAAGGAGGAAAGGAAGAGGAAAGAAGGAGGAAAGGAAGTCCTCCACCTTTTATTCCAAGAAATTACAAACAGTGTGGCCAAATCTGAAGCGATCCTAAAATCCAGAGTTTCTTCCCTCTTCCTTCCCTCCTCCTTCCCTCTTCCTT